ACAACCAAGAGAGAGAAAAGAGAGAGAAAGAGAGAGAGAGTGTGTGTGTGTGTGTGTGTTGCTAAAACCACATGTGTCATCCCTAATAGGCACCGCAGTCCAAACACCACAGTCAAGCATTTGCGATCCCCAGTCATTGCAACTACATCAAAGGGAAGGGAAAGGGGGAAACACAAAAGAGAGTGTCCTAAAAATATTATCTTTTTTAATTTTTATTATTTTTTGCTTTTATGGGTCTCACCCAGCGATGCTCAGGGATTACTTCTGGCTCTGCACTCAGGAATTACTCCTGGCGGTGCTGGGGAAACCATATGGGATGCCGGGGATTGAACCTGGGTCAGCCACATGCAAGGCAAACGCCCTACCCGCTGTGCTATTGCTCCAGCCCCCAATAAATTTTTTTTTTAATTTTTAAAGGGGAAGTGCCTGCCATAGAGCCATCGAGCAGGCATGGGAAGACGGGGTGGTGGGAGGGAAACTGGGGTCATTGATGGTGGGAATAGACACTGGTGGAGGGAGGGGTGATGGAACATTGTATGACTGAAACCTGATCGTGAACAGCTTTGTATCTGTGCATCTCATGGTGACTCAATTTACAAAAAATTAAAATTAAAAAGAAAGAAAGGGAGTGTGTGTCCAATGGGACCAGAGAAGTAGTTCAGGGGTTAAGGTGCTTGCCTTGCATGTGGCTGATCCCACCTTTTTTTAAAAAAAAAAAAATCACTCCTGACGGTGGTGCTCAGAGCTTACTCCTGGCTGTGAGCTCAGGAATCACACTGGCTATGCTCAAGGGTCCAAATGGGCTCCCAAAAACCAACTCCAAGTCTGCTATTTGCAAAGCAAGGACCTTACCTGCTGTACCATCGCTCCTACAGTATTTTTTGGAACTTCAAATTGATACTGAGCACAGGCTTCTTGGAACCCAGGCTCTTGGCTGCCCCTTCGGTTCCTCCAGGATGTGATCTCTTCCTCAACAAAATACAATCCCAGGACCGGAGTGAGAGGGGCATTTGCCTGGCACACAGCCAACCCCGGCATCCTATCTGATTCCCCTGAGCACCACCAGTAGTGATTCCTGAGTTCAGAGTCAGGAGTAACCCCTCAGCATTGCCAAGTGTGACCCCAAAAGCCAATAACTAACTAAATAAAAACACTATCCCACTGAGTATAGCAGTGCCTCAGCTCACCTCAGGAGAGTCACTCTAGTCCTTGAGTTGTGCGCTCCTGCTTGCTCCCTCCAGAGCCAACAGTCTCGTCAGCATTCCTCATGGTGGGCACCCAGAACCCAAAGCACTGACAGGAAGGCATTTGTTGAGGGAAATGCCAGGAAGCCAAACTGCTAGGAAAAACAAAAGCAAAAAAATGCAATACTAACAGGCCCGCTGGAACCTTGGAACAGGATTTTGCTGAGTTCAGATTCTCAGGGATAGACCTAACTTGATAGAATTCAGCCGACTTGGTTCATAGGAGAAATCACCTACGGGGAAAACAGTGACCTTTGCAGGTGTTTGAGCCTGAGATTCTGAATTATATACAATCAGACTATCCTAGAATCTCATGGTTCAATAAGCTACTGGCCTAAAATAAAGGTTATGGGAGCCAGGGATGTGACTCAGCAATAAAGCTGTCTTGCGTGAGGACCTGGGTTCGATTCCTGACACCACGACCCAAAAAAAAGAAAAGAAAGAAAAGAAAACCACAGGGGCTGGAGCAGTAGCACAGTGGGTAGGGTGTTTGCCTTGCACGCAGCCAACCTGGATTCGATTCCCAGTGTCCCATATGGCCCCCTGAGCTCCGCCAGGGGTGATTCCTGAGTGCAGAGCCAGGAGTAACCCCTGGGCATTGCCTGGTATGACCCAAAAAGAAAAAAAAAACACTTGGGGACCTTGATATTTTTTTTGCAGATTTCTTAGTTCCTCTAATGTGATGAATTTTGTTCCTTCCACGTTTACACCTTCATTTCTTTCTTGCTGATCCTTTACAGACTATACCGTATTTCACCACATAGTCGCCATAACCTTACAATATACTGAAATTATTTACTGAGAGCACAGCTGGTAGGGCATTTGCCTTACAAGCGGCCAACATGACCAACCCGAGTTCGATTCCTCCGCCCCTCTCGGAGAGCCTGGCAAGCTACCGAGAGTATTCGATATGCCAGACACAGTAACAACAAAGTCTCCAATGGAGACGTTACTGGGCCTGCTCGAGCAAATCGACGATTTTAGCACTGCACTGTCCTCCGGTTGTTCATTAATTTGCTCAAGCGGGCCCAGTAACATCTTCATTGTGAGACTTGTTGTTACTGTGTTTGGCATATTGAATACGTCGCGGGGACCTTGCCAGGCTCTGCCGTGAGGGCGAGATACTCGGTAGCTTGCCGGGCTCTCTGAGAGGGGCAGAGGAATCGAACCTGGCTCGGCCAGGCTGACTGTGCACAAGGCAAACACCCTACCGCTGTGCTATCACTCAGCTGGAGCAATAGCTTTTGGTCTTTGACAAAGTAAATACCAGGGGGTCGGAGAGATAGCTCAAGTGGTAGAGCACATGCTTTACATGTGAAAGACCCCGGGTTTGATTCCTGTGACTATATGGGCCTCTGAGTGCCACTAGGAGGACCAGACCCCTTTTCCTCATCCAGCACCACCTATACAATTAAAAATAAAATAATAAAAATCTACAGAACTCATGCAATAGTACTGCAAGTAGGGCGCTAGCCTTGCATGCAGCCACCCTAGGTTCGATTCCCAGCATTCCACATGGTCTCCCGAGCAGCACCAGGAGTAATTTCCGAGTTCAGAGTCAGGAGTAACCCCTGAGCACCACCCAGTATGGGCCTAAAACGAAACGAAACAAAACAAAACAAATACACATGTGTCTCTCCTACTTAACATTCCGTTCAAGTGAGATGGTGTCTGGAATCAGCTAAGTACTCAATAAATATCCTATAGCAGATATAGCTGGAGAGGACATTAAATCCTTCCATCCATCCCTTTCTGGCGGACTGCACGGTGAGGAATGCATCATGAGGGAATCCTGTTGTGCACGATTGTGGATTGTGGATTGTGCTTCCATGAATCTAGACAGTACAGCACGCTGCACTCCCTCACTATCCACTGTAGCCCACTGGGACGATCATGGATGGACACATTAAGAGCTACAGACCACGGAGCTCCACAGCCACATACAAGATCCCCTTTCCCTGCTCCTGACACCCCCCTCCTGAATGCCTCCAGTAGTAGACAATATAGCAAGTGTTCCAGCTCGTTCTTTCTCTCTCTCTTTCTTTCTTTCTTTCTTTCTTTCTTTCTTTCTTTCTTTCTTTCTTTCTTTTGCTTTTTGGATCACACCTGGCAATGCTCAGGGGTTACTCCTGGCTCTGCACTCAGGAATGACTCCTGGTGGTGCTCAAGAGACCATGTGGCATGCCGGGGATCGAACCCAGGTTGGCTGCGTGCAAGGCAAACGCCCCCTCTCCACTGTGCTATCACTCGGGCCCCTCCAGCTCTTCTTGTGCCAGACATGGACGGTAGTGAGCCAGGGGAGATGAGCTCTGCTGTTCTCAGAGCTCCGCAGCCCGAGGAACATTGTTTGTCTTCACTGAGAGGCCCCTGCCCGCCCCGCCGGTGTTTAATCCTGGCTGCAGTATAAATAGAACTTGGCCCTCTGAAAAGGCTCTTCACCCACCTCTAGGTTCCTTCCCTTTTGGTGATCCCAACCAAAGCTGAACCTTTGATTCCCTCTAGTGGTTCAAACTGGCAATGCTCCGAGTTGAGTCTGCATTTCTTTGTTGGAGTGTCCTACTGCGTGCCCCTGGGCACAGGGCTCTCTGCCTTTGGCTCAGGAAAGAAGCGCTGGGTGTATTTGCACTCTCTTGTACCCCATCGGGGGTGAGTGAGAGGCGGCAAACCGGGGCTCTCTCTCCATAGCTGCCTTTGGGGACCGAAGGAGAATGAGCCATGACGCAGATTATTTCTACCCCTCCATGGGTGGCAGGAAGTCGGGTCAGGTCTTTTCAGCCTGCACGTTGGTTTGCTCACTATTAGTGAAGAGCGGGAGAGCTTCAGGAGTGGAAACCTCGGCCCAGCGCCGTAGTGGCTGGTGCTGTCATATCAGCCAGCTGGCCAGGAGGTCAGACATGCTGGCAGTGGTGGTGTGTGGTCAAGGGCATGAGCTGCAGAACCTGGTGGTCAATATGTGAGCACTTCAGTGACGCGCATCTGAGGTCACTTGTCCTGTCACTTCCTGATCCTCCGGTCTGGGGTGGTTTGCTGCGCTCCCCTTTCAGCCCCTCAATCCACCCAGAAGTTCTACCTTTCTCCTTAGGGTTGTGTGTCCACCACTGGAAAAGCTTTTTAGGGTGGCCACTGGGCCCCTGGATGTGGCTCAATGACAAAACTCTTGGACTTGCATGTGTGAACTGGGGTTAGATCCCCAGCCCACAAAATTCATGATGATGACGATGATGATGATGATGGTGGTGGTGGTGGTGGCACAGCCAGTGCCATAGCTCTTTCGGGTTCTAATCTCAGTCAAAGGACGAGATCCTGGTGCATGTCAGATCTCACAGTTGCACCTTCCAAGGGGCTTATGCAGCTAGTTTCGAAGGCACCTGTGGGGCTGGAGTGATAGTACAGTGGAGAGGACGTTTGCCTTGCACAAAGCCCATCTGGGTTCGTCCCCAGCATCCTACCTGGTCCTGAGAGCCCAGCCAGGAGTGATCCCTCAGCACAGAGCCAGGAGTAAGCCCTAAGCACCATCCCCACCAACAAAATTAATAAATAAATAAATATGAGTCGGAAGAAAGGTGGGCCGTTGGTGGGACTTGGTTGGGCCAATGAACTCAGGTCGTGGATCAGTGTGAGGTGAGGCTTTCCGGTTCTGCTGGCTGAGGGTTCTTCCAGACCTCTGCCCTTCCCTCTTGCCTCCGGAAGAGCCAACTGTAGGGCCTGTACTGCTTGCTCCCTGCAGTGCCCTCATGAGCGCCTTTCCCCTTCCAGCCTCCTACTGTGCCAGCTCCTGGGGAACTCACACTGAGATCAAGAGAGTAGCCGAAGAGAAGGTCACTCTGCCCTGCCACCACCAGCTGGGGCTCCCGGAGAAAGACACTCTGGACATCGAATGGCTGCTGACCGATAATGAAGGCAACCAGAAAGTGGTGAGTCCTCCCTCCCCACCCTCTGCAGCACCCCTGCGCCCACCCCTTCTCATTCCTCCTGTCTCCCTCCAGGGGAGGAAAGGCCTAGACATGCTTTGGCTTCTGGGTTATAGTTGGAAGACTTTAGACATGAAACTGGAGAGAGAAGATGCTTTGGAACAAGGACAAGAGGTTCTTGTGTTCTTCTGGCAAGCAAGGACTACTGTGAAGTCATACATGCCAGGGAGGAGGTCACCTCTCTCTCTGTGTCTTCCTTACACAGGGGACCGATTAGGAAGTCGATTCCTGAATCTAGCGAACCAGAAACCCATATCTGAGATCTTGGGGAGATAGTACAGTGGGTTGGGCATTGCCTTGCATGTGACCAACCCAAAGTCGGTTCCCAGCACCCCAGATGGTCCTCCAAACCCTGCCAGGAATGATCCCTAAGCACAGAGTCAGGAATAAGCCCTGAGAACTGCCAACACCAAAATAAATAAAGGAACCCCAAACCTGCACTAGAAGTACCCTTCTTGTCCCCTTCTAAACCCACCACCCCCTGTGTATACTCAGACTTTGCCCGGTCAAGGCTTCTAAGCTGGAAGATGGCCGAGGACAGAGAAGCAACAAGTACGGGGTGTGAGAGAAGTGTTTGGCTCATGTATCAAGGGACAGCAAACAAGGGATTCTGTCTCTGGAGCTGGAAAAAGGAAGCTGGCTCTGCAGAAGTCAGGTTGGGGAGCTCCGGCGAATGGTCCCTGGGTTTCATGAGCTTTTGCCCTTGTGGACAGAACTTGCATGTTATGCTTCCTCAAGAACCAGGGGCTGGCCTGCCCAGACAATGACAGTGAGTCACAGACTATTATCAGCCTTTCTATGGCAGTACTCAGCCACTGGAGCACTGGGAGGAAGGAAGGAAGGAGTAATTTAGGAAAGCTGACTTTCAGCCTGCCTTCTTTAGAGCATTCTTTTTTTTCTCCACTGAAAAGTGAAATGTTTTTTGAATTTCCCAAGACAGTTTGTGCTGGGAGCAGCTCAAGTTTGCACCGGAAAGGAATCTCACTGCTGGGACTGAACCTGTCACCTGGTTATTTTGATACTGCCTGTCATTTGTTCTCATCACACTAAGAGTGTGCTCGAGCAAAGGGCACCTTTACCTGAGCTTGCTTTCCCAGCAGCTCTAAGTCAAACCAGACACTCAGGTCTGGGTGAAGGGAGGAAGAGCCCCTGCTCCAGGGAAGATTCTAGAGTGCCCTGTGGGTACCAGCTCTCAGCCCACCCCAGGCTTCCGGTGAAAGAAAAGGATGTGCTGATAAAGAAAGCACTCAGCCTTCCCACCCCCAACACACACACACACACACACACACACACACACACACACACACTGTCTGCAAAGTAACAGGAAAAGAAAAACAAGAGAACCACAAATCTTCATGGAATATTAGATCTGTATTTTGCGTCATTCTATGTCTGAGAAAGCACTGATAATTTATAATAAAATATAAAGAACCAGGGGCCAGAGAAATAGCATATAAAGCACTGACGCTGAGCACAGAGCCAAGAGTAAGCCTTCAGCACAGCCAAGTGTGACCCAAAAAATAAGTATGCCCTCCCCCCCCCCATACATATATAATACAACAGGTAGGGCTTCTGCCTTGCACGAGGCTGACCCGAATTCAATCCCATATGGTCCTCTGAGCACCACCAGGTGTAATTCCTGAGTGAAGAGCCAGGAATTGGAGTAATTCCTGAGTGAAGAGCCAGGAATTACCCCTGAGCATCAGTGGGTGTGACCCCAAAACAGAACAACAACAGCAAAATAGATAACCCTTTTGTGGGAGAAAGGGGAGGGTTGGAGTCTTAGCTCTGGTGTTCAGGGGCTATTTCCGGCTCTGTGCTCAGAAGTGACCTTCTGCTGGTGCTTGAGGGATTCTTTGTAGTACCAGGGATTACAAGGCAAGAACCTCCAAAGCCCTTGTTTGAATTTTTTGGCTTTGGCCCACACCCAGCCACACTCAGGAGTGACTCCTGGCCCTGCATTCAGGAATTACTCCTAGTGGCTCTCAGAGGACCTCAGTTGGGATGCCAGGGACTGAACCCACGTCTGCCATGTGCAGATCAAGTGCCCCATCCTCTGTGCTATCTCAGGCCCCAGAGCCTTAATCCCTTGATTAACTTTTTCCTGTGTTATTAAGTAATAAAAATACAACCAGCAGTTCAGGGTGATGACTCATGGGACTGGAGTTCATGTTTTGCAGGCAGGAGACCCAGATTCCATCCTGGCACTGCGTGGGACCCAGAGCCAGAGAGCAACTGCGGGTCCCCAGTAGGTGTGGCCCAAAAATGCAACAACAAAATATTCAACCCAGTTCATTAGAAACATTTGATTGGCTGCATTTCACACGTCTCTTCCTCCGTCCCTCCCCCCTCCCTCCTTCCTCTCCTTTCCTTTCCTCTCCCTTCCCTCTCTCTCTTATTCCCTTCCTCTTCCCTCCCTCCCTCTCTCTCTCTGTCTGTCTGTCTCTCTTTCTCTCTCTCTCTGGAAGCACCCAGTGATAAGCTAACCCCAGGTTAGTGCTCAGCGTTCTGTGTTGCTCCCAGTGGTGCTCTGAGGATCACATGGCCTCCAGATTGAACCTGGACTTCTGCCTGCCTACAGCTCTTTAAGCAGTGCTCCCTCCCCAGCGCTTCCCCAAAGCAAGCACTTTGAAAAGAAACTTAAGTAAAGGAATGCAGTGCATATCATGCTGGGAGTCCCTGAGTGGTGACCCAGACCCAAACTTGAGCTTGGCCTTCCCATGGAAGCAGAGACACTGCTGTGTCTGTCTCTGGAATGTTCCCTGACATATGCAGAGCACGGTCGGGAGGGGTGTGCCGGCTCAGGAATGCTGGGACCCTGGGAGCAAGGCTCCTGGAAACCTGAACTTTGCTCCTGGTTCCAGGAATGGATGGGGAGAATTTCCAGATTGCAAGGGCAGACTCTCGCGGAGCATCCAGGGGCTCCCGTCAGAAACCTTTGGCACAGGAGAAATTAGGAGAGAGGCCGCACCCTGTCGTGTCCGCCCAGCCTTTCTCTCCGGCTATTCTGTTGCTGAGCTCACTCCCAGGAGTTACTCCGGGCTCTGCTCTCAGCATCACTGCTGGCGGGGCTATATGGGGTGTCGAGGATCCAACCGGGTCAGCCGTGCTGAAGGCCAGCTGCGTGACTACCTGTCCCCTTCTCTGCTTTGAGCACGGGAATCCCTACTCTGCAGCACGGAAGGGCTCGTTCGCGGCACTTCTACTCCTGCTATGCAGCCGTGGCCAGCGCAGCCACGGCCAGAAGGTTGAGTAGATCCATCTGGGCCCGAGCCCATCTGGAGCGCATGCTCAGTGTGCAGGCTCCAGCACCACGTGACCACCGCCAACCCCACCCCCGCCCAGCTAGAGCGCATGTTCTCTGTTGCAGGAGCCCAGACCATGTGACATTTCGCCCTCCCCCCCCACCAGCACGGCTGGAGCGCATGCTCTGTGTGCAGGGACCCCCAGCACCAAGTGACCTCCTGAGCATTGATGAGAGTAATCTCCTCTGCAAAAAAAAAAAAAAACAAACAAAAAAGAAATACTTTTTTAATACAAAAAAAAATATTGCCGGCGCCACACCCAATCTGTACTCAGGCCTTACTCCGAGCTCTGAGTTCAGGGGACACTCCAGGCAAGGCTTGGGGATCATATAGGATACTGGGGTCCAACCCAGGTCAGCCACATAGAAGGAAGCACCCTACCACTGTAGTAGCACTCCGGCGCCCATCAACAAGACTATTTCTTAATGCAAGTGTTCAGGAATGTTCGAGACTGTTCTAAGGCATTTCTGGCCCTTCATACCCAGTACCACACTGCCATCGGCTCTCCAAAGTCAAAAGTCAAGGGCAGGGGCAGGGGCTGGAGAGATAGCACAGCGGGTAGGGCGTTTGCCTTGCATGCAGACAAGCTGGGTTCGATTCCCAGCATCCCATATGGTCCCCTGAGCACCTCCAGGAGTGATTCCTGAGTGCAGAGCCAGGAGTAATCCCTGTGCATAGCCGGGTGTGACCCAAAATGCAAAAAAAAAAAAAAAAAAAAAAGGCAAGGGCACCATATGTGTGTTGCAGAGATTGAACCCAGGGGCTCACCCACACAAGGCAAACCCTGAATCTATGCCATCCCTCAGGTCCCTCAAGTGTTTCTCATAAGACAAAGTTAACCCTGATGTTAGTCCAAAAATTAAAATGAGGATCTAGGAGACAGTTTAAGGTTGGGGCCTTGTATGCTCAAGGTGCTGAGTTTGATCCCTGGCACTGTATCACAGGATCTGAGCACCAAATCATGAGCATCATACTGATGTCGGTGGACCCCACAGGTAGCTCACGTTGAGTCAGGAGGAGAGAAGGACAGTCACCTTACTCCCACTCCGCTGCTGCCACCTGGGACCAGCTGGGAAGACTAGGACTGATTAAGTCTGCGATGAGCCCCTGCTCGGCACGGGCCTAAGCCCTGCCAGCCCCACGAGGTGGCTATCAGGCCACACCTGAAGTCCGCTTGGTCTTCCTGGCACGGGAGTCTATCCCCACCACCCAATTTCTCAGGGAGTCACAGACTCAGGCTGGAGCACGGATTTGCTCTTTGCAGGAAAGGAAGAACCAGTCCCAGGTCTGACCCAGGGTTTTCAGGATTCTTGTCTCTTTCGCAGAAAAGAACTTCAGGAAGAGACAAGCAGTGAAGTAAACAGATTTTATTTAGAGGGTTTTTGAAGGTAAGGAGGAAGAGAAAAGTGGGAGAGTGGAGAGTAAGAGAGACAGAGTAATGCATTCAAGAGAGAATGCGGGCTTCTCCAAAGGCGGAGAGAGCCCCTACATGCATCCCAGAATTAGATAGGAAAACATAAAAGTACACCTCTCAGAAGGGGAGATGCGGGGCTGGAGCAATAGCACAGCAGGGAGGGCGTTTGCCTTGCACACGACAGACCGGGGTTCGATTCCCAGCATCCCATATGGTCCCCCGAG